GGGAGGGAAAGGTGGATAAAAGGGAAAACAGGGATGGGCAAACCATGCCTGTACAACAAATTCAAGAGGTCAGAAAGTAAGCAAAAGAGAAAAGCACTGCTTTTACACTGTGATATACAATTTTAGGTGTGAATTTTGACCAATATGATTTATTATTGAACACACATACCCTTCCTTATCCCTGAAAAAAAAAAAAAAAAAAGCTGAAAATGTTCCAGGTTTCAGTGTTGTTTGGGTTTCTTGATACTTGAAAACATTCCAGCATTTCCAGCTGGAATGTTTTTTCACCTATAATTTTGTAAGATATTCTAAAAACACACCCAGCACATTCTTTAAAGCCAATGTCTAGAATTAAGTCTACTTCTGGTAAATTAGACCATTTGCCTTATTCTACTTTTCACAAACACAGCAAAAAGGTTATTCAGGGTTTTTGGTTTTGTTTTTTTTTTTAAATAGTTCTCTTGAATTTTGGCACACAGAGGAAACAGAACTGCTGCCTACATCTTCAAAAAACATTTAGACCACGTTCTCAAATCTGTTTGCAAAAATCACAACCAGAAGTTTGTCTAGGGTTAACATCACTATGTTAGGAGAAAGGAGAAATCTGGAAAGCAGAGATGAAACAGCAAGTTAGTATTTCTTCCACTTTCAGGAACCACAACAGACCAATTATAGTAATTCCTCCAACAAAACTTGAAAGAAAGAAATTCGACACCCCGTACCTTCCCTACTCTTACCAAGCAAACACGAAGACAAGATAGCCAGACCAGCATGAGCTCCAGTACTAGCATACACTATCTCAAATTCTCACATGTGCATAAATTTTCTGAACCTGAACTTGCATAGGCCTGCAGAAAGCACTTATGTTGAAGATTACTGAAGTCAAAAGATCTCATTAGTTGAGTGAAGCTCTAGCAATTAATATTTAGGAATTATTTTGCCAAGAATGCCTAGGGAATTTCCACAAGTACACCTCAGAAACAGCGAAAAGAAGATATTATCCATTACAAATGAAGTTGGGAAGCTGCTTTTCTTCTCAAAATTAAAGCAACTGAATCTAGTATTTCTTGAAGGATACATGTTCTGCAAAAGAAAACTGCAGAAGTGTAGCTTAGTTTTTGACCCTACCAAACATAATATGCCTCTTCTACAAATGTTTTGCCAGAGGCTAAAGAAAACTGAGTGCAAGTTTATCTGTTTAACACATCTGTATTGTCCACTCCAAAAAGGACAGGTATGCACAGGAATACTTCCACACAAGCACTTTAGAAGCATTTACCTATGAGGGGGTTAAGGGCTAGATTCATGTAAGCATTTGCTTAGATGGTCAAGATACCACTCTGCTATCACCTACCCCTAGAGGTGCCAGTTTTCCCCTAACTGCTTAGTTTTCCAAATAACACCCACAAAAAAGTAGTTTGTAAGGGATCTATGCCTTGGGGCTGATAAGCTCTTTGCCAGCCTCAGTGGGACCCTTAAACCAAACACTTCCAGATGGAAACACAAGGTTTCCAACTCAACGTGTTCTTCAATGTGGGGCTTAATCCTATGAATCTTCAAACCTGGGCTGCAGCGCACATGAAACCAGGTAAGATCTCTCACAAGGCACTGACAAGTTGATCCTCAAGTGGCATGTGGGACAGAAAAGTTCAAATCCTTCCTCTGTCTCCTCTGGAGCAAGAACTTTAATTCTTCCTTCACTCACAGAAAATGCCTTAAACACTGGGTGCTCAAGATGAAGGAGGCAGAGGGAAAGGAGTCTTTTAAAATCTCCTATTGAAGCTATTGCCATTTCATAAAATACATACAATATTAATAAGATAATAAACAGTTTGAAAGTACTCCGACGGTCCATTGGTTCACTTGTTTTACACAAGTGACAGAAACAACAATCCCTTTCTGCACACTCCAGGTCATGTATGATGTCCTCAGCACAGGAGGCAGATAGACTTGGACCCCAGAGCAATTAAAAGCACAACAGTTAACACATTTTCCTGCTGATACACAGACAAAGCGACAGTGGGGCTTACACGGCTTTGGTTTGTAATTCCAGGAGAAAAGACAAAGTTCAAACGGAGGGAAATTTTTGTCTCTAACTTACAGATTCTCTTTTTGCAGAAGTTGCAAAAAGGATTAAAAAAAATCCAGACATGCAGACTTCTCAGTCCACACCACAAAACACACTTCCGATTCACATTCAGCAGCTGTTCAACTATCTGCAGTAGGGCAAACCCGTAACGGGACAATGCAGTTGAATATTCCAACCACAGATACAGGCATGTTTTGTGCACACTTGCCTTCATTTTTCAGTCCTTCCCAGGTCTACGGGAACACAGAAATGGAATCTAGGGGAGGTTGTGGTTTTTATCCCAAGTGGACAATATATTTGCACTATGTAGAAAACAAAGGAGAAGTACTCCTAACTTCAGAGTTCTTCTTAATAGCGCGGCCATCAAAGACACTGCTGTTTCTACCACTTCCAAGGGCACTTTGGGGTCATTTTACTGCACAAATAAGCTGTACACTAGAAAATAAAACACTTGGAGAAAGACACATCAACTCTATTTTTCAGATGATCTATTATCACCAACAGATATTTGTTTAGTCTACAAAGACAATAATAAATCTTAAAACTGGCAACTATCCCAGACAGTAAATTTAAAAGAAAGCTCTTACGTTGTAAGAACACCAAACAGTTAATATTTTCATCTGAAGTTTACAATTCGGAATTGCGAAGTTGTACCTTGTTTCAAGTAACTCTGAAGAGTTATAAAACAACAGTATACTGGGTGTAAAAAACATCTTCCTCTCTGTTTTCCTCCAGTCTGCTTGCTTTGTAACGGGAATGATAACAACAAACGCACAAGTCAGTCCTACCTACGTTCCTGTCATGAATACGGACACTCAAAAGACCAAGGTCTCAGGCCCATGCCATTTTCTGACGGCACGTATGCACCAGGGATGACACCGTGCTGAAGGCGGTGTGTGAGCCCACAGGTGCTGGAGCATTAACACCTGCACGCAGGGCGGCTGTAGGTTTCTCCAACCACCTCCAGGACAGTGCTCTGGCACAGAGTCAGCTCTACACACGTCATGCTCATTGCACTGCTCCAGTGGAAGCTGATTTAGATGACCTTTCCCCGGTTCAGCAAGGCAAACCTAACCAGTAAGCACAAATTCAAATACAACTATAAAAGAAACAGGGTTGAGTCAAGCACGCATCTTATTATTCCCAATCCTCTCTTCAAAGTCTCATCTCCAAAAATACTGCAGTGAAGAACTCTACATAGCCTTAAGGCTTGATGATATATTATTTAAATAGTATATATATATACACTGCTGGTTTTTTCCACCTCATAAAAAATAAATCTTTCCCTTCCATTTCTTTCCAGAAGCTTAGAGATAATCCTGTTATTAGTTGACAACTCAATTTAAAATGCTCTACTCCCAAATATGAGGCATTGCCAAGGCCACCCTTCTCTCCAAATTTAAAATATTTGAAAGCTGTTATCAGAACACAATGCCACAGCAGTTAACAAAACAATTCCTCCAAGGTTAGACGGCACACTTCCCTTTTCTCTTCAAATAATACTAAGACTGCTTAAGTTTCCACTCACAATTTTCAAGATTCGACAGGAGAGTGGAAATCTGATTTTGATGCAAGTAATTCTTATGAAAAGCTTACTTTCTTAAATCACAACAAGTTGCTTACTTCATACCAACTCTGTTTCCTCAGATTTTCCCAGCAATAATGCAAACCTCCCGGAAGCCTGCCTTTTTGATCTGTTGAAAAAACTCTTCCGACTCTTTTATCGTCAAACTCAAGGTACTGTTCCAGATGCAATAGCCCTGGAAATGTCACGTAAAGGCAAAAAAGGCTGATTCACCGTGACTGACAATTCAAGCTCTGCCTCTTGGCATGTAGAACACTGCTTATTGATTTCCAAAATAATTTTCAATCAAGCTTATTCATTTTCTCAGGTAACTGTTACACACGTCCATTTCTGCAGAGCTAATGTGATGTCTTCTTGGTCTTTTTTACAGCTCCAATCCCCACACCCCCCGATCTTTGAGCTGAAAACTACAGGTAAGGAATATAACAGCAAAAAGAATGAATGATGGGCTAGTCCTCTCATAATGGTGAAAAATACATGAATATAATTCATTTCACAGCAGGGAAATTATCTACACATATATAGTGCTCCAAACTTTTATCTATCTGACCAAGGGTCATGAGTTATACAGCAGATGATTTTGGAGTTTCTTTCTCTCTGACAGATCACAAAGCACCACACAAACATCAATCTGAACCTCAGAAGCATGTTTCACCTAGAAAGATGCTGAAAGGACAACGGGTGAGCAACATCTTTTTATGGCAATAAGGGCAAAGGATGAACAACTCTAACCAAGAACACCATGGCAAGACCACTGTTCTTACAAAGGCACCAAGAGAGTTTAATGCATGGCCAAACGGAGAAATCCCAGCAGCTTTAAACATCTCATCTGACTGTCTGACACTGCAAAATGCAAACACTGCCCCGCACACCTCAAACAAGGCGGTCAATCGGAGGAGTACCTGCATCTTCAGATTACTTCATATTTATTATCTACTGTATCAGACATTTAAAATACCTAATGTACATCAAAGAGTAATAGATGTTTTCATACCACCTGATCTCCAGGGTTTGTAAACATGCCTATTAATCTTTAAAGTATCATCAGCATAGGCAGATGCGGTTTCTTTCAGAGACACACAGGCAAACACAGCAACCTCTGACCAGTAAAATTCTGAAGTATGTCTAGACCTTTGGCACAGAACGAAAACTGTAATTGGTGTGTTTTTTGTATTTTTAGCAATAGTTTACCCAAGTAAACACGGAAAGACTTAACGCAAGGCCAGCAAGCCAGACACAGAGCAAATTTAGCCCCTGGCCCCTACCTCTGTGCATACCACTGATACCTAAAACTTCATCATGTCAGAAAACACAGAAGGGTGTTACCTTTCTGGACATGGATGATGTCTGGAAAGTTGGCCAAATGCCCCTGATACAGCGCTAACAAATCCATCACTGGATCTAGGTCCTGCCGGGGCTGATCTGCAAAGAGGTCCCCGATGGCATCGTAGGCTTCTGCAGTGAAGGCTATGGCTTGGTTGAGGCCAGCTGAAAAGGCCTGCTGGTCCAGCTCAAACGCCTGACTGAGGCACTTAAAGGAGTGCCCCACCTTCTGGTATTCCTTCTTGAAACCAGTGACTTGTTTGCGGGCAAACTCGTTGGCTGTGTGATTAAGCTGCAGGGCACTCTCGTCCATCTTCTTCGTGAAGGCTTTGAAGCCATCCACCTGGCTTTCCACCTCCTGCAAGTCCAGGATGGCCCCAGGGCCCGTGGGGACACTGATGGTCAGGAAGAAGTTGGCACCCACCATCTCATCCTTCTCAGCCTTGCGCTTGCCTTGTTTCCAGGCCTTCTCATCCGTGCTGGGACAGGTGAGGAAGTGCTGGAAGGCATCGCACTGAGCCAGCACGGGGTGGCTGCACATGTGGTCCATCCACCAGGCCAGGCCTTTGCGACGTTTGGAGATGAAGTCCTCCTCGAAGCGGCCGGTGGCCTGCTTCTCGGGCAAGTGGGGCACGGAGATGACGGGGAACTTCTCGGCAAGCCGCCCGTAGAGCCAGTCAAAGTGCTTGTAGCGGCGGTGCACCTGCTGCCCGGTGTGGCTGGGCACCAGCTTGTAGGCGATGTAGCTCTTCATGCCCTTGAACTTGGTCTGCTTGGTGGGGTCCTCGATGGAGCACTGGAAGGGGTAGGGGTTCTCCTGCCACTCAGGACCCCGGGGTCCCAGCACCACGCACAGCTTGTCCCCGTCCTTCACGAAGCCCGAGGCTTCTCCCAGCACGAAGGCCTCCCCGCCCGACTTGACGAAGGTGGAGAAGCGGTTGAGGTTGCGGCTGACGGTGGCCGAGCTCTTGGCGCCGCCGCCGCCGCCGGGGGGGTGCGGGTGGCCGGCCGGGTGGCCGCCGCGGGAGCCCAGGGAGAGCTCGGAGCGGGTGGACATGCGGTAGCGGCCCGAGGCCCCGCCGCCCGCCGCCTCGTAGTCGGGGTAGGAGCTGCCCAGGGCGCCCGGCTCGTCGGCCACGGTGGAGCTGTCGTCCCAGTCGTCGTCCCAGTCATCGTCGCTGCCCTGGCTGGGCTGGTAGGAGCCGCCGTAGGGCGCCGGCGGGAAGGGGAACCCGGCGGCGGGGGGCAGCGGG